GACGAAGCGGTGAACTTTCCTGCATTCATTTGATTAGACCTCAAGATTTTCGCTAACTTGTGTCTACCACAAGGTCTCAACGGCGTCTCCATCGGGAGTGGAACCCGTACAGACTGCATATACTGTCATTTGGGCATACTGACAACATGTCGAAATCGTATCCCAAGCCGTCCAGGTTCGAGTCCCGCTGAGGGCGCTGATGAGGTCGAGGTGATGTGGCAACAGCAGTCCCGTCGAGAGGAGAATGACTGTCGGCAGACAAGGCTTGGTGAACTTCAATGGTATCTTGTGGAAAAAGTGAAGAATCGCATTGTCATCACCTTACGCGACCCAGGCTGGCAAGAACTAGTCTTCTGTTAATCAACCACTGTCGACACCCAATCGGTCACAATGTTGAGTTCGTCGAGAAAAGACCCCACGTATCATTTGGTTCTGCGATTTGCCACAATATCGGAGTTCGGAACCACTTTCACCGGCAAGGAGGAGGTAAGTCTGCGTTCACAGGCTGGCAGACATCCTCTTTCTGGTGTCCATGATGGGGTGTCTTATCAGCTCCAAGGGGAAGACCATATAATTTGATGAGCGGCCCAGTCTCGGCCGAAAATCTTCTCCCCACCGAAAAGGTGGCTTTCTCACTCGATCGTGCCATCTTAGCGCACTCTGCAAGAAGCCTCGCTGCCCAGCCAGCCAACAAGAGAGCTAGCGGCTGTAAAAGCAATTAACCCATTTACACAACCGCATGTCGCCTCTGGGGTACAAATTATTTCATGAAAATGCAGTGATTTACTCTGCCGCACATTCACACACACACACACACACACACACACACACATGCACGCACAGCAGTTTATAAATGATTGTACATTTATCACCATTGTATGTAAGAAATGAGACAATGTAACATATATGTATGTATGTGTTTTTATTCTTTAATGCAAATCGCACAATATGAATTCTTTCTTGGCCAATTCTTCTTGGTCACTATCCCAGAGACCTGAGGCAGCAGCATTTCCCCATCTCTTAGAGTCGCCCTGTTGTAGCCTCACCACGTAGGTTATACTTTCTTGTCGATCATTCACCCCTCAGTCACCTTGGTTACTGGACCTAATGATGGGCTCGAGGAAGTTTAGATGCCAAGGCTCAATGGCACCGAAAACTAAGTTCCGAATTCTGGTTTCGTCAGGTCGGCCTACGAGTAGCCCAGAGGAGCGTTCGGTTTTTTCATGTTCTGCTTACCGTTTGCGTGATCCTGATCAAACGCTGACGTTAGTCCCTTTATGTAGACAGTTGAATTGGCTTTCTTTGTGCAAAGATTTATTGGCTTGAGTAATTAACGAGTTGGTTCGCTTAAGCCTTCAGGCAGGAATGTCCAGTTTGCCTCGTTTCCAATAGATACCGAAGTGTTGTGAGGACAAAATAGGACACACCTCATCATTCCTACTGTCACAATAGTGTCCAACATGCCCACAAA